GGATAGGCTCCAAAGCTACAAAGAAACCCTATCTTGAAAAACCAATAAATAAATAAATATTTGCTGCTTTTGGAGACGACCCAGGTTCCATTCTCAGCACCCATATGGAAGTTCACACGTGCCTGTAACTGCAGTTCCAGGGGATTTAACACCCTCTTCTGGCCTCTGTGAGCACCAGGCATGCACACAGTACACATACCTACATGCAGGTTCATACGCAAAAATTTTTTCTAAGTCTGGTTTGCTCTGAGTACCAGAAGTTTCTCCTACTATCACATCTAGAAACACCGCTCCCTCCTCCTGGCCCCCTACCCACACTTTAGAGCCATATGGGTAATCCCAGCATCCTTGAGTTCCCAGTGGATTCTGGGGTTGAATTAGCAGGAATAATGCAAGTCGAAGTCAGGTGGGTTTGGGTGGAATTTTGAGGCAGGAATCATAAAGAAAGTTGAGAAATTCATCCTGTCAGATGGAAGGTCATGGCTCTGGTTCTTTACATTCTGTGTTCAGCATTTAGGTCCTTAGTGTTAGTATCTGCAGGATTCGTCCTCAGCTGCAGCTGCTAAGAGCACCTCCTGTGCATATTCCCTACATTCCCTTTCAAAAGGTGGGCCCGCCTCCTCTCTCTCTCCTCCCTCTCTCCCCCTCTCTCTCTCTCTCTCTCTCTCTCTCTCTCTCTCTCTCTCTCTCTCTCTCTCTCCCTCTCCCTTTTTCCCTCCTCTCTCTCTCCCTCCCACCATTCTTGTCCTCGGGTACCAGTCTCTGCTCTCCTTTCTGCCCCTTCTCTCTCCTCTTCCAATAAACCTCCCATGCGAGCCCTGTTGGTGGCGTGATTCCCTTCCTGGTGATTTTTAAATTATAGCATCAATGTTATACTCAGCAAGCCTTCCCAGCACCCATGAGACTCAGCAAGCCTTCCCAGCACTCTGAGGTGCACAAGGACCCAGGAACCCGGTCCACTTACGACAACCTCATTTCTCTAACAGATCACTGGGCCCCTCCATCCAACACTGTATGATTGGTGAGCCCCCTCTTCTCAACCTCTGGCCATTTCCCATGAGTGAGGACACATCTCTCAAGTGTGGTTTCTCGCCTTTTGGCCTGTCAAGTCTTGGTACCAGGCAACCATGGCTCTCTTGGGCTTGGAGTCGTTGGCCCCTGTTCTTTGCGTGATGATGCATGGGACAGCCTGTGCCTACTTAATCCGACCCTCTCTGAATTCCTGGGACACTAGGAATTGCAGACTCTTGGATCTTCTCTGCCTCACTCATGAGAACTGTGTCCACTTTGCAGTCAGGCCTGGTCTCAATACCCCTTAAATATCAATCCAAATGGCTGCTTCCCAGCACTCTATATCCCGGTGTTTTGCAGGGCCTTTGGAGCATTCTGCCAGTGATCCAATAAAAGGAAGGAGGTGTCACCCTTCACTCTTCTGCTTTCCCACTTCCCCAATAAGCCTCTTACACTAATTCTGTTGCGTGCAGCATGCTTGGTTAGTAGCAGGGCTCACCAAAAGGCAACCACTTCACCCTGGGATCCTACCCACCTGCTCCACCCTCAACAGATCAGACCTCTTCCACCTGCAACAAATCTGCTTTCTCCTTTGCTGATAGGGCTTGGCCTGCTATTCAATATCAACATTGAGTCTCTGGCGCGATTACCTGCCTCTGACCATTCTCCTGGATGTGAGGCTCCCTTTCCTGGCACAGTTCTTTCCTTGATTTCTGGCTTTTCTCAAAGTCCGGGTAACAGGTGACTGTGTCTCTCAGGCTCAGAGCCCTGGGCCCCTGTTCTTGCGTGATGACGGACTGAAACAACTTGTGCCCACTCAGTCTGATCCTCCCTTGGACACCAGTGCGTTCAGCCCTTTGGATCTTTCTCTACCTCACTCGCTGTGCCCACTCAATCTTCCTCTGTCTCATCCCTGGGAGCTGTGTCATGCACCTCCTTGTTCCCAGTGGGATGTCTTTTGGAGACCCACTGACCACTCCATTAAATCAAATCTGGCCTCAGTATTCCTTGAACTGAGGGAACTGAGAAAGAATTCTTTCACTTCACTTTCTTTCATTTTCATTGCTCCAAAACCAGCTTGTGTCTGTCTGTTCTGCCTCTCTGAATGTTCTGTCTAGGTCTGCTGCAGCGTGGGAGTCAGAGATGAGGCAGTGCTCAGGAAAGAGAACAACTGCTTCGAGACAGGGTTTCTCTGTAGCTTTGGAACCTGTCCTGGAACTAGCTCTGTAGACCAGGCTGGCCTCAAACTCACAGAGATCCACCTGCCTCTGTCTCCCAATGGCTGGGATTAAAGGCGTGCACCACCACCACCCAGCAACAACTGATCCTTAAAAAATACCCTTGTTAACAGATTCAATGCAATGCCCATCAAAATCCCAGCAAAATTCTTCAAAGACCTCGAAAGAACGGTACTCAACTTCATATGGATATGGCCCAGGATAGCCAAAACAATCCTGTACAATAAAAGAACTTCTGGAGATATCACAATCCCTGACTTCAAACTTTACTACAAACTTTACTGGAAACAGCCTGGTATTGGCATAAGAACAGACAGGAGGACCAATGGAATCAAATAGAAGACCCAGATATCAATCCACACATCTTTGAACATCTGATCTTTGACAAGGAAGCAAAAAATATCAAATGGAGAAAAGAAAGCATATTTAACAAGTGGTGCTGGCATAACTGGATATCAGCATGTAGAAAAATGACAATAGATCCATATCTATCACCATGCACAAAACTCAAATCCAAATAAAGCCAGCCACACTGAACCTTACAGAAGAGAAGGTGGGAAGTACACATGTCCAGGAGGTGAGAACCAATAGCACCCCAGAGGTAGCCACCTCCCCCAGATTCAGAAAAGAGACTCACAGAACAGATTCTAATGTGACTCTTTATCTTCCTTTATTTAAAGGGTACCAACTTTACAATGACTGCCCTCAGTAATCAACCTTCTGTGTCTCCTGGTAAACTGGCTAGAGAGTGTCCAGGCGATGCTATGGTGATGGGAAAAGATATTAAGACTCCAAAAGTTCATAGTCTCAACATTAATCAATGGAATTCTGATGGGCTATTAATCTGGCAGCGTACTACCTCTCTGTGGGTATACTACCATTTCTGCAATGTGGATTTCGGTACAGATTACAAACAGCGGGAAGGCTAATGTATCTATAATTTATCTTTTCACAAACTCAGAGTTCTTGTGAACTCCAGGGAGTCGACTTGGATCCACCTCCAACAGCATTTTGCCAGCTCCAAAGCAGGGCCTGCCAGTTTCACAGAGCCTGGACAGTGAAGTGGAATATCCAGCTACCCCAGGACATGGTCAGCACCCCAGCTTTCTCAGGTCCCCCAAGATTCCGACACCTTCCAGGTCAGCAGGAAGTAGTCTTGAGTACATGGCGTCATCATTTCCGCCTCACCTGCTACCCTTTTAAACTCCTCACCTTTGTACAATAAATAAAAAGGGAGGAGTGTTAGCATTCGGGCATCTGTATTGGCCTGCCCTTGGGGCCCTGACAAGGTACATCCTCAGCTGCAGCCACTAAGAGCACCTCCTGGGCACAGTCATTGTGTTCCCTTTTGTTTTGTTTTGTTTTGGGTTTTTTGTCTTTTCAAGACAGGGTTTCTCTGTGTAGCTTTGGAGCTGGTCCTGTAACTCGTTCTATAGACCATGCTGGCCTCAAACTCACAGAACCTGCCTCTGCCTCCCAAGTGCTGGGATTAAAGGCAAGTGCCCCCACTGCCCGACAACTACATTCCTTTTTAAAAGGTGGGCCTTGCCCACCTCCAATCCCATCCGTCCCTCCCCTCCCCCCTCTCATTCTCTTCCTCCACTCTTGTTCCCAGGTTCTAGTCTCTGCCCCCTTTTCTGCGCTTTTTCTCTCCTCTTCCGATAAACCTCCCATGTGAGCCTGTTGGGTGGCGTGACTCCTTCCCACAGATTTTAAATAAATTATAACACTTAGGCAGAACAAGTAGCAACTCAATGAAAACAAAACGTTTTAAAAATTGATTTTTCTTTGTTCTTATGATAATACAAATGTGTATGGGCTATTACTTTTCTAAGCTTATCTTCTAAGATGAATGACTTTCTTTCTAAGGACTCCAAGTGCCACACACCCTGGCCGCAGCGAGGCCTGTCACACGGCTGAACTGCCACAGCAGGGCTAACTGTCCAGTCTCAGCTCAGATAAGAAGGCTCACAAGAGGAGAAGTAAACCCTTCAAGGTCACACTGAGTCCAGGCCAGGGCGGCTCCAGAGTGAGGCCTCCCACCACTCAGGTCTGAGAACTGTCCTGAGACCATACTCAGGATGCCTCCGACCAGATAGATACATCCCCACCAGAAAAAACTGCAGCTGGGCATGTGGCTCAAGCCCATTCCTGGTGGCAGGACACAGAGAGGTGGGTGGATCTCTGTAGGTGCAAAGCCAGCCTGATATTTAGCAAGTCGGCCAGGCTACAGAGTGAGGCACTATCTCAAAAACAAAAACAAACAACAAAAAAGCCTGAATATGAACATTCTTTCCAGAGCTGGAAATTAACCTAGACATTTAGGATGATTTTACAGACAAAGAAAGTGGCGTCTAATGGGGTCATGTGGGCAGCTCCTGGGGCTCCTGGGCACTAAGTTTTATCATCTTATCTGCCCATAAAATCATAGGCTCAGGAACATCCCGCGTGGTGACCTGGAATCAGGCCCCCGCCATGAGTTCTGCTGTCTGGAAATATAAAGGCTCACAGTGTATTGGCTTTGGCCACTGAAGAGAGAACACTTGGCTGAAGCGGGTGGGGAGAAGTGTGTGGAGCCTTGTACTTACAAAGTCAAGAAGGGAGAACATGTGTTTCCCATTTGTCTTGGGATGGGAAAGAAAAACTTTTCCTTTCACTTAATCTTGGTTCAAACAAATAGAGAGACTGCCCTTTTTGTAAACCCGCCGAACGTCAGCCATTGTTCACCAGCACGGCTGGGCTCGGCTGGCATCGGTTTACCAAGCCAGGACGCGGCCGCCTTCCTCACGTAATCCCCTCAATTAGAAGGCACTTCAGCCTGAAGAGGGGCGACTGAGCTAATACACATTTCCTATGAATTGGACAAGAGTCAGCCGGAGGAGTCAGGTTTCCAAATCTATCGCCTCTGATTTCAGCCAGAGCCCGAGGCAACACAGCTCCAGTCGTGACTCAGGATTCTGTGAGTGAAAGCAAGCACGTCAAGTGATGTAAGAAAATTTCCCCGTTCCCTAGCCCCTGGCCACCTTCTCCCCGGGGAATTCAGCAGAGAGCCTTGGGTGTTCTGACGTGGGGGAGCATCATGCCCCCGGTGCCCAGTTCACCTATCGGCTTACAGTGACCAGGGGTCTGGGCTTGACAAAGGAAGTCGTCAGTGAGGACTGCTTTCCTGCTGGTCCCTGAGCTCAGATAATTGCATTGTAGTGTGTGTGAGAATCTCATAAAATAAACAAAGAAACAAGGGGCCGCAGTGGTCTGGGCTAAAGTCAAGGAGGGAGGCGTGTGATTCAGGCCCACCTTTGAAATCACTTTGTTTGTAAAAAGTCTACCCTGCTCTCTTAAGGAAGCTGCCCTGGAATGAGGTTCCTGCGCATGTGGGGTTTAGGGCTATTGTCTTTGGCTCCGCCGTTCACCTCAAGCCCTAGCTAGGACATGTTTAAATCCCATAACAACAGCCTGACATGAAATTGCTCACCCTCTCATTGCATCAGGGGACTTTTACTTGGGCAGATTTTGAATGCCTCATTGTTTAATAGGACAGGAAGTTTATTTTCTATGTAAATGAGGACTCTTCCCCCCCCCTCCCCGCCTCCACACCCTTTAGCTGCTTGGCGGACTGGTGTCTGGTTATCTCCAGTCTAGCTCCTTCTTCTCTCGGTTTCTTTCTGACTAAGGCTTTTTCTTAGCGCCAAAGCCCTAAGGCAGGCTTCCCCTGGTGATGGGGTAAGGGCCGCTCAGGGACAGGACGTGGTCACATCTCCTTACAGGACCCGGACTCTCTCAGCTGGGTGTCATGGCACACACCTGTTAGCCCAGCACTTGGGAGAGAGAGGCAGGTTAGTTTCTAGGCTGGCAAGAGCTACATAGGAATGGAGGGTGGGGTACCTCTAAAGTTCTTCATTTTAATCTGAATTGAAATTAACACACACTCACACACACACACACACACACACACACACACACACACACACACATCCCCGAACCTGGAGATGCCCTTTCTTCCTTGGGAATTACTCAATAATGCCCAGCTCACACTCACATATCAGGCTAAAGCCTTTAAAAAAGGTGCCAAACAAGCAATAGGTGAAAGCCTACTGCAGAACCATGATAATACCGCTATAAAGCAAATGTCTGAGAAGAGAAATTTCTAGAAAAGAAAACCTCATGGCTCCCCATCTCCACACCATACAGACAAACGCTTCAAAAGGTATCAGTACAGTGATCCCCCTGCCAAAAACTGCTGAGAGAGGCCCTCAACAAGGAAAAAGTTCAAAATCTATCATGGGGCTGGATAGATAGCCCCACAGTAAAGAGCATGTGTTGCTCTTGTACAGGATCTCGTTCAATCCCAGCACCCATATGAAGGCGCCAACTCTCTGTTACTCCAGTTCCAGGGGACTGAACACCCTCTTCTGGCCTCCGTGAGCTGCAGGCACGTGCTGTACAGACCCAAATGCAGGCAAAACAACATATGCATAAAAATAATTACAAAAAATATATTCATCATTAGTAAGTGAAAACCAGGGAAGAACAGCAGAGGGGATGATGGGATAGGACGCCCCATTTATTTAGTATGTTTCTCCGGGTCTTTCTTTTCTCTTTTCCAACATATCCAAAAAGAAGGAGCAATGTTGTTTGTTTTGTTTAAAGAAGATAGCCAACAACTGTGCATAGGCCCTAACAATTAGTCAAAAGTCATGAACATATTCCCAAGAGCCACCATGGTGCTCAGCAGCATATATGTGAGAGGTTTGTTTCCTTAAAATCACAGTAGTGCAGGCCTGGGGTGTAGTTCCTAGTATTCAGAAAGCCTGGGTTTGATTCTGAGGACCTCACGTACTGGGAATGGTGCATTCCTGCAATCTCAGCAGAGGAGGGGGTGGTTAGATACGGGAAGGTCAGGAGTTCAAAGTCATCCTCAACTATGTAGTAAGTTTGAAGTCAGCCTGGACTACATGAGACTCTTCAAAGCATGAAATTACTACAGCTGAACAAGAATTTTATGGATGTATTCATATGTGTATACATGCACCAGTGAGTGTGCTTTTTACTTGTACCGGCCCACATGCAATTAAGAGGCCAGAGATCTGCTCTCTAGCCTCCATTTTCACAAGCATGTAACCTGCAGAGCGTTAGACACAGCAGCAAACACTGAGTGTGCAAGGGCCTCCTCTAAGATTCTGGTTGAGCTAAGCTGGCCTGGAGTCCGGCCCCACCCTCCATTTTAATGTCTACTGAGTGGTTATAGTCTGTGTCCAGGTGGTTATAGTCTGTGTCCAGGTGGGTATAGTCTGTATCCAGATGGTTACAGTCCATGTCCAGGTGGTTAGAGTCTGTGTCCAGGTGGTTACAGTCCGTGTCCAGGTGGTTAGAGTCCGTGTCCAAGTGGTTACAGTCCGTGTCTGATGGAGGAAGGTCATTGGCTAATAAAGAAACTGGCTTGGCCCATTTTATTGGTTAGAACATAGGTGGGTGGAGTAAACAGAAGAGAATGCTGGGAGGAAGAGGAAGTGAGGTCAGAAGTAATGCAGCTCCTCTCAGAGCCAGATGCCTCAGACAGAGAGGCATGCTCCACTCTCCCGGGCAGATGCATGCAAAGCTCACCTTGGGGTGTTTACACAGATGATTAGAAATGGGCTAAATTAATATGTGAGAATTAGCCTAGAAGAGGCTAGATAGAAATGGGCCAAGCAGTGTTTAAAAGAATACAATTTGTGTGTTGTTATTTCGGGCGCCGGGGTGCTGGGGACGCAGCCCCGCCGCTCTTATTTCGACACATGTCCAGGTGGTTACAGTCCATGTCCAGGTGGTTACTATTATTCTTTTAAGCGGATGAGTGTGAGTGGGTAGAGACAAGCGCGGGACAGACAAAACACGCACAGCGGAGCAGGGTTAAGGAGGAGACACAGACACACAGCTCCCACGTGGGTGCGCTTTAATGGGGGAGGGGTAGCACAGGTAAGGGACAGGTGTGCAAAACACAAGAGGGTGGGAGGGAAAGAGAGGGGAGAGGGAGAGAGAGAGAGAGGCTTGAGGCAACTCTCGGTTTTAACAGTGAACGCAGGGGCGTCTGGGAGAAGTGTCGCCCTGGTATCCATAGTCCGGGGGAATTCTGGGAACTGTAGTTCTCCAGAAGAACAACAGTTACAGTCTGTGTCTAGGTGGTTACAGTCCGTGTCTAGGTGGTTACAGTCTGTGTCTAGGTGGTTCTAGTCTGAGTCTAGGTCTCTGGCCATAACCTCTGAGTTAGGCCTATCCTATGATTTAACTACTCTTTGTCAGTCCACAAAACTAAGCCACACATGCCAGTTCTCTCCATGACCTTTTTTATCGTTTATTTATTTTAGGTGTGTACTTATTTTGCCTGCATGTATGTCTGTGCATCGTGGCCATGCACTGCCCAAAGAGGCCGGACGAGAGTATTAGATCCTTAGGACTAGAGTTACAGACAGTTGTGAGCCACTGTGTTGGTGCTGGGGATTGAACTCATGATCTCTGGAAGAGCAACCAGTGCTCTTAACTGCTGAGCCATCTTTCCAGCCCTTCTTTCCAGAGTTGTAAGCGGGTACTAGTGTGTCGCCTTCCTGTTCCTAACCCTAGTTCTACCCTAAACATCAGCATCTGGGATGAGGCCTCTGTGTCCATACTGTGGAAAACAAACCCCCTATAAAATGCTTTCAGGTGTGGCAGCATTCTAGCCGCTCCTTCGTTCTCACCAAACTTCATTGTGTCTGTTCCACATCTAGTCTTTCTCACGTAACGAAGCGAGAAAAGACAAGTTGGTTCAATGACACGTGACTGCTTGCTTGGCAAATCTGTGTGCTGGCTTCCTAAGAATCATCTTAGGAATCCATCTTGTAGAAATAAATATGTGTCCCTAATCTTCGAGAGTGTTCGGGGCCTAGCGTAGAGCTTTACTTATCCTAGACATTCAGCAAACTTTTAATAAAACTGAGAATATAAAGTCTGTAAATTTGGGGTATCTCCCTGAGTTAAAATGGTTCCAGAAATTTAAATGACTGGGCTGAGAAAAAGTTGCCCTGGTGATTTGATTATGAAACTTCACTCAGGGAATATGGCAAGTGGCAGAGAAAATTTAGCTGGGGCAGTTACAGAGCTAGCACTCTGAGATGTGGTCTATCAAGCACACAGGAAGAGGGTTTCTTCAATCTACATAAGCCCCAATTCTCCACCACACTCAGGTCTGTTTCTGAAAGGGGATAGCAGCCTCTGGGTGGGCACTGTCGGTACTTTGGCTAGCATGTTCTGATGATTTATAGAACTGGCCTCTCCCCGTTTTTCAGAATTATCTTTGTCACATTCTCTGGATCATTAAATGTGGATTTTGTTTGTTTGGTTGGTTGGTTGGTTTTTTATTTTTGTTTTTGTTTTTTGAGACAGCCTTTCTCAGTGTAGCCTGGAATTCACTCTGCAGACCAGACTGGCCTCAAACTCAGACATCCTCCTGCCTCTGCCTTTTGAGAGCTGGGATTAAAGGCGTGCGCCACCACCGCCCAGCTAAATATGGATTTTTAAATCAGCAAATTCTGTGGTGATTGTTATTGAAATTTGGAGCCGAGGACAATTTATAAATTTAATTTTCTTATTTTACAATACCCATTTTCTTTAAATCTCCTATTATTGAAAATAGGTTTTTTTTCCCCCTCTCACATAAAATATCCTGGTTACAGTTTCCCCTCCCTTCACTCTGCCTTTCATTCTTTATCAAGATCCTACAGAAGTTGGTTGCTAGGAGATTCACGGCCTCGGATGCTATTGTAGTCAGAGTACTGTGGTTATGGGCTCGCTGAATGCCCCAGCTTGTTTATCTCTTGTCCATCTTACAGCCAATCATTTTTCTAGCCTTTGTGTTTACTTAGGAGCGTTTGGGTTTCATGAAATTTTTTAAGGCTGCAACCACGTGATTGCAAAGAACGAAGTTTTATGTTGAGAGAAAAGTCAAGGCAGGTAGTGATCCAAGTATTCATGT